CCCTCACAAAACGTTTTCTGAAAACAAATCTGACTTTGTGAACAAAAGTTGAAAATGAAAAAAAGTTGTTTTCAGTGATTTCATTTTCAGTGTTTTCCGAAGACACAAGAATGCATCCCATCAACAACTCTAGCTCTCTCTCTTGACAACCAATAAACCCACCAACAGGAACAACACCCATCTTCTCCAACCCAAAATAAACAAATCTGCAAATTAAGAAAAAAAAATACAGAGGAAGAAGAAGAAAAAAAAACAGAGACAAGAAGAAGAACCACCACATACCCAACTCAACCACCATCATCACCCAATCAAACCATCACAGCCATGGAAGGAAGGAGGAGTGGGTGTGGCCTGGGAAGGAAAGGAAGAAGAAAAGAGGAAGAAAAGGAGAAAAAAGAAACGGCCTGGGGAAGGAAAGGAAGAAGAAAAGGGGAAGAAAGTAGGAAAGAGGAAGAAAAAGAGAAAAAAGAAGCAGCCATGTGAAGGAAAAGAAGAAGAAAAAAGGAGGAAAGAGAGAAAAGGAGAAAAAGAAGAAAAAGAAAAAAAGGAAAAAAAGGAGATAAGGTAGTTTTTGAGCTTAATTTTTTTTCATTGTTTACAATAATTTTAGCCTCTAAAAATATCAGAATTAAAAAAAATTAGAACTAAAATTAGCAAAAATACACCTGAAAAACAATTGTACTACCAGACACGTTTTCATTGTTTTTGTTTTCTAAAGATGTTTTCTAATTAATCTACCAGACGCATTTTCATTTCCTGAAAATGCAAATTTGTTTTCTTGTTTTCATTCTCTGAAAATATTCTCAGAAAACATTCTCCGAAAACGTTACCAGACGGGCCCTTAGAATTTCTGCCTCCCTTATCCCCCACGACAGTTTTGAGTGCTCCTTACCTTTCTGAGTTTCTTTCTAGTGACACCTGATAAAAAAGGAGTCAGTTCCATACTGGTTTCAAAGCACTTCCAAATTTGCATCATCCTGAGCCTCATTTTAGAAGCATTGGGATTTTTTTATAAGTAAAATTCAACGATAGCAATGAGCCAAGTGATGGCGAAGTTGGATAGCTGACCCAATGTGAGATATGTCCGAAGTCCAATCAGAGTGTGTGAATGATCATCCACTTGCTATACGCAGTGCAGCTCTCCATTAACAAATGATTAGTATAAAAGTGACCAATGGCAAGGCTGTCTTGATATATTATTGTACATGCTTGATCAGTTTTAAAATTTCATGAGATATATGAGTTCATTGAATCGTCTGTCTTACCTCACTCAACTAGAGGACATCTCTTACCTACCAGCACTTAGCTCAAAAAGAAGAAAAAAGATTAAAAAGAGGGGTTCCCTGAGAAAGTGACATAGCTCAGGCCTTGCAGGTTCTTCTGGAATTGCAACAGAGCAAGACACCCTGTTTTGTCTCTGTTTGGACAGATTTTGGGACCATGGTTTTTCAAAAATGCACTATAGATGGTTACTTTTCACCTAGCTAGTATTCTGTTGTTTGTTTTTCCATACACGCACATGTGACTATATATAATCTCTGATTTCTTATTTTCAGTTGTTAATTCACAGCAGACCATGTTTGAATTAGATGATGATGTTAATGCAAATTCATTATCCATGGAATGACTGAAGAGTTTAGGATTGCATATCTAGGAAAACATCTCATTCTCATATTACAAGTAAAAGAATTACTGACCATGCATACAAAGTCTTGTGAAAATTCCATATTACAAGTTAAAAAAATTCAAACCCTTGTCTTGGAGATGAGCAAAGGAGGTCAAGGTGAGGGAGCCACTTGAGGAAGTAAAGTAGCAGAAGAACCAAAATGAGGAAACTTGCAGGGAATGTAAATATAAGATCCCATGTAGGGACACAACCTTGGGCGTGCAAAGAAATCTGCACATTCTTCAATTGATTTTTGGAATGGAAGATCAGGAATGCAGTTGTTCCTAACATCAAGCACTCCTCTACCAATCAACATTCTACAAAGAGGACCAACATTTGTGAAATAATTATCAGACAATGATAAGTTTACCAAATTCTGCAGCCCACAGACCACCTCCGGCACCATGCCATAGAACAAATTACCAGCAAAGTTGAGCTGCTCCACGCTCTCCAGGCAAGCCAGAGAGAATGGCAAAGGGCCAGTCAATTGGTTATTGCCTGCATCAAACACTATGGCCTCCTTTAGTAACCCAATCTCATAAGGCAGACAACCTGTTAACTGGTTATTTAGGAGCAGAACTTCAGTCAGAGCAGAAAAGACTTTGGAAATGCCTGGTGGAATTGGGCCCATGAACTTGTTGTTTGCTAAGGTGAGGAGAAGAATATGAGAGCTACCCAAATTATCAGGAAGCTTCTGCATGAAATTGTTGTTGTTAATGAACAGGGCATCAAGGTCCTGAGTGAATATCTGAGGTGGAACTGACCCAGTGAAAAAATTGAACCTTATGTCCAAGAAAGTGAGGCTGCTCATCCCAAGAACAACACTGGGAAAAGGACCAGAGAATTGGTTGTTACTTAGGTCAAGCTCATAGAGATAGGGGAGCTTGGCAATGTTGGCAGAGATGGTGCCTGAAAAATTGTTGGAATTTGCATGGAAGAGGGCAATATCAGGGAGTTGGTCAAGAAACCCATCAAGTGAAGAAGCACCAAGTTGAAAACCATTGAAGTCAATGGAGGCCAGGGCAATTGCAGAGCTGTTGTTTGGGGGGTTGTCACAATAGAAGCCTCTGTAGCTGCAAATATTGGAGCCTACCCAAGTTTTGGTGATGCCTAGAGGATCTGAGGTGATGGTGGACTTGAATTTTTGGATAATTGGGTACACTAGTTCAAGCTTTTGATCTGCAAACACAAGTTCTTCTGTGTTTGGTAAATCTGGAGGTGCTTGTGGTGGACTTATTTGCTTTCTATGGCTTCTATCTTTGCTGCCTCCCCTATGGTGGCCACTTAAAACAAGCTTGAGGGTTTCTTTGTGGGTATGGTCTGTCACAGAGTAGGCAATACTGAGACAGGTTAGTAGAAAAAAGAAGGTTGAGATTGAAACTAAAGCTCTGGTGGGAGCAGAGCTTCTCATTATTTCCTGTGTTGAACTGTATTTGCTTGTTTTCAGAGGTTTTTCCAGAGCAAAGCAAAAGGTGGCAAAGGATGGCAAATAGGAGGAGGCACTCATTGCAAGGGTTTATGCTCAATCATGAACACTTTTTTTTTCATAACTAATAATTTAACCTAATTTTTATTATATTATGAAAACTGGATAAGATGCAAAAGTTAATTATTAGGTGCTCTATGAAGCACTAATTCAACACTCGAGACTTGTTTTACTCTCAAAGTCAAAAACTGTTTAATATTCATGAGATAACTCTGGCCTTCTTTATCAAATTCTATCCTTTTAACGTTAAGTATCTAAAATGATAACAGTTAAGCAATACAAACATGAAACATCGCATGGATCTTCCCGGACCCTCAATCCACTGCTGTCAAAAGAAATAGAATAAAGCCAAAGCATAGCTTCAGAAGTCAGGGTTAATGCAGAGTGTGTTCATTTCAAATTATATAATTAATTTTTCATCGCTGAGAAAGAAAAAGAAAAATCTAATGCAGAAGAGGGTTCTGTTTCTTTCATTATTTTCTGGCAGCCTGCCACGGGTCTTGTCCTTCAGGAGCAGGTTTACAATTGACCTACCGACATCCATTAGCTTGTGGGGGCCTAATGCACCATTAGCTCAAACTAGCATCAAGATTTGCTCATTCTGATACCGGCAGGTTAATGTTATATTCAAAGTTTCTGTTCTTGATCAAAATCGATATGAAATTTAAATATATATATATATATATATATATGGTTCTTACCATTCAGATGACGAGCATAACAAATTAACAATGCCATATATGTTGAAGAACAAAAAATGTAGGGATAAAGTAAACGGGGTATAGCCCAATAAAAAAAAAAATCTTGACTTGAAAATAAAAAGTTTTATATTCAAACTCTTATGACATCTTAGTAATGTATGTATGTGAGAAATTCTCGTTCTCTTTAGTTTGGATTATGGCTTATACTACAAAAACATGTTGGGATAAATATTGTCTTCGTTGTTACAACGGAAAAGGTGTTTAGAATTTCATGTTAAATAATTTCAAACCAGAAGAAGTGGCCCCGGGTTTGGTTATCTTTAATGGAACATGGCCTCTAAATTTGGTTTGGTGATGGTGATATCTATCTCCGGAGGTAATCGAGAGCAGGCCTGAGATATTTCCCAGGTTAGCCTGGTAATATGGGCTTCTTCTGGGCCAGCCAGCAGAAAATTTGTTTGACCAAAACCTAAAAAGAAAAAGGTAAAATTATGCCTGCCTTTTTCATTAGGTACAAACTTTGGCATAACTTCAAAACCAAGGTGGCTTTTAGCCCCAAAACCCCGAGCAAATTAAAGAAGCGAACTTCTCCACCGAACTTGAAACTGAAAACCCTTCCAAATGTGAGCAAAGGTTGGAACAAATCATTTGACCTAGAGCAACGTGTTTGACCAGGAATTCAAACAAATCAAGACATTTTTGCCATTATGCTTTGATTTGAGAAAGCAACACCCACACCCACAGTGAATGTGTAACCAAGAAATGTTGGGATTATGCTTCGATTTGAACATAAACAAAAGACAACCTATCAACACCCCCCAACCGACCACATTGACTTTGCCAAATATTTACCCATTTAAATGGCAACATTTCAAGATTCTGCAACAAAACCAATTATAACAGAGAATCCATGAAGGCAACTTCGTTGAGAAATATGGGAACTTAACACAATCTTTAGGCACCACCTGACAGCACAAACATCCCAAAAGTCCTCATCTCTCTCTCTCTCTCTCTCCACACACAACTTACCATTACTAAATTAGGGCTCAAGTTGTCAACTGTCCCATGCATGCCTCTTCCATATAAACTACTGTCTGCCCATGCATTGGGTGACCCTCAACAATTGTATAGTGGGAATTGGAACGAGTAAAAGTGGGCATCCTCGGCAAAATCCACCATCATACATATTAAACATTTCTAATGAGTATATAGGCACATCATTAAATATAAAAATAAAACCCACTAGTAAGCATGATTGACTTCCCACCAAATCCAACATCTCTAAGCCTATCCCTATATCTTCTTCTTTTTTTCTTTTTCTTTTTAAAATTTCTAATATATAAGGTTCTAAATGAGCAAAAGAATAAATCCAAATAATAATAAAATAAAAAAGACGAATCTAGTTTTGTATAGGCAGCTTAGGCGTACCCACTAATCCTCTTGGAGACGGTGCAAAGCAAATGATCGTTGACTATTGTATGGCCCAAACCAAACATATAATTTCTTTGCTTCTTGCAATATTTAATACAAAAGGAACATTTTGAGGCGTTGGATGAGTTGACTTAAGATGATTCGAGGACGAGAGCAGGCGTTGGATCCGTGACACTGTGGGAGTGATTGTGATCACCTTCGTAGGTCACAATCAGCATGGTTGGATCGTCTAGAGCCCGCTCCACGTGCTTGCGTGCAAGACAGCCTCTCTGGCTACTACACTTGTAATATCCTCTGCATTGTGACAAAAGCAATCAGACATTCAGAAAACTCAGCGGCTACGTTACTCAATTTATTGATTCACACAACTTAGAAAAACGAGTTGAGTGTATCCAATGTCAAATGTGATATTCACGCTCATCGGAATTCATTCAAATTACAACATTCAAAGAATAATTTATTATAATTTAAATGTCACACAATAAATTCCCTTAACAATCAATTCGAACAAGATTAATGAATGAATGACTGATTGAATGAGAATCTTATACCTTGGATGAGGGGAACCCTTGATGGGTTTTTGACCGTACTTTCTCCATGAATAATCATCCGGTGGAATATCAGCCATTTTCATACTAATTGCAGGGACTCTGACCACTCTTTTCACTTTTGATTTCCTGATCAATCCAAGCAATACAAGTTAAAAAGTCGCAATTTTGAACACATCCCACATTGAAAAAACTACAACCAAATTGAAAATCATGATGATTGATGACCGTGGACCAACCTTTTCTTGGAACAGTGGCATCGCCCAGAAGATGAGCCGCACCTGAGAGCTGCAACATCGTCCATGGAATTGCACTTCCTCTTCAACGAAGAAGAAGAAAGAGGCGGCTTGCCCGAGGACGACTGTGACATGTTTGTGAACTGAAACCCAGAAGACATTGAATGCTGCACAGAACCCTCAGCCTCTCCAGTGGTTAAAGAAGACATAAATGAATTGGCAGCGGAAATCGAAGGTGAGGGTGAGAAATTGATGGTGGTAGGAGCATCCAGCCTTCTCTCCGCGCACAAAACACTCTTTGTCAACACAACAGGCGTGGTTTTCAGATGGGGATTGTGAGGCAGAGGCGGTAAACGCACACTCGGTGTGGGGCAGTAAACCTTGAAAGCAGAGGATTGCTCTGTTTTGAAACCAGGGGGTTGATCTGTTTTTGGGTTATGGGGTTCTTGAATTGAAGGCCTTGGGATTTGGGTCTCTGTTTCCTGAAGCGGCGGTGGCGGTGGAGGCGGAGATGGAGTGACAGGAGCTCTTCTGAACCGAGCGTGGCCGGTTCTTCCATTGTCCAGTAATGAAATGACCTTCCTGAACTTGGTCACGGCCATGTCTGCAACAGCTTTGTACTCTGTAGCAGCTTCAGGGTTCGATGAGGAAGAAAAACAAGAGTCTTGGAATTGGTGGTGGTGTTGCGAAATCAAGCTTATGAACTTCTCGACGCTTTGAATTCCAGCTGAGGCCGCTTCCTTCACAGCATTCTCTTCCATTTGCGCTGCAAAACTGTCAATAAATCCCATCATGAGCTCCACAGCCATTTCTCGTCAACACGGCATGAAATTGGTTGTGAATTGAAGAAAGACAAGTAGTTTCAAAACTTGAAAGCTCAACGGAATGAAATGTAAATATAGAGATTTGGTATGATGACGAGAAAAGCAAAAACAAAAGAAAGAAAAAAGCAGAGGAAAACAGAGAAAAAGGGCAAACGATTATTCGAGTCAAACTGATGATGCCCTTCCTCATAAGGCTACAAGGCATTGGCTCTCTCTGCTCTTCATCTCCGTCAAACGTAGGGGCCAGTGATGTGGCTCCACGTGGCAAAGTTCTGGCAGGGCATTGAACCGCTTGGAGACCGTGTATAAATGATGAGAGAGAGAGAGAAAGAGATAGATAAGGTCAAAAGGCTGGGATTAGCCGTTGGATCGCTGACTGAACAGAGAAGGGAGATCAGAGAGACAAAGGGTTAATTGGAGACAGTGAGGTAGAGTTGACCTTTTGCAGCTTTTAATGCAAAAAAAGTCATTAGAGTGAGGTGGTGGGGTTGTTCGGCCGGAAAACAAAAACAAAAAAAAATTAATATTAAAACTTACGAAAAAATAATAAAAGAAAAGAAAAAGTGGTCGGGTGTGGGACCAGAGGGTTTCGACTTTAAACAGACACTGGAAGCTGCGTCAAAGCCTCAACTCTCAAGTCACATGGGATTCTTCTTGTCATCAACGACAATAAAACCAAGGTCCAATATCCGTTTGATTTAATCTTAAATCTATTTGGAACCGTTGATACTACTACTTTCACCATGGGATACGTGTTACGGTTTAGTCTTGTGGATTGTACATACATCTGAGTCCTACAATTGAGTTTAAGTGCGCATTAACAGTTATAAACATGTCACGCATTTGGCACGACTAATTCTAACGAACTATGAATTTTTAGTTGAGAAGTAATCAACAGTACTAGGAATAATCTTTGTGTTTGCTCATTGTGAATCTCGACCATCCATGTGTAATTTTAACTGACTGTGATGTGTGTACATGGCAGATGCTTTGTTAACAAACCTTGAAAAAGTTTTCATTGGCAAGTAACAAATGGGGAAGGGGAATCAGACCAGAAGAAATAGGGATTCTACTTTCTTTCCAATGTGGGCAATGTCCCATTATTTTGGTCAAACATTCTCTTTTTTTTCTTATAGGGAATTCAAACTGTGCAATAGTATGTTTTCATAAATGATGGAGTATTGTTCAGGAAATTTGATTCATTCCACTTTTTTTTTCCTTATAAAAAGGTAGAATGGTCCCAATGTAAGGTTCTTGCCTAAGTTAGAAGAAAAATATTTGTTATTTCCAGCCAATAATGTTATGTTACGTGAAAGTATTATCATGTGTTTTATAGCATTATTAGCAGAGGATATCAAAATAATATTATTTCCGTTTTATAGAAGTCTATCTCTAATGTTAGATAAATCATTCATATAATTATTGCCGTGACCTAAAATCTCGTATTTACATCTCTCTTCCATTCATTTTTGTGTTTGTGTGTGTGCCTTATTTTATTTCGTATACCTCAAAAGCCAATTGATTCGAAAATTTGATGTACAAAAAGACCATGCGACCTAATTTAGAGTAGAAAAGAGAATTCTATGACGTTGCGAACCCACTTAGACGACCTTTATTTACTTTATAATATTGTATTATTGTATAGGGTTTGATTGTAGGAGCACCTCTTTCTCTGGCTTGTGGACTTTATTGATGAGATTATTATTTCATAATTCAAGCACGAAACTTGCCTAAATCTCCTCCGAGGATTAGTCTTTTAATAAACAACTGGCAGCCACTGCTCTCGCTTTTATTATTGTTGTTGTTATTGTCATTATTATTATTATTAAAATGTTGTTAATGTCTAACTTAGTGTCTGTTTTTTGTTTTCTTTAATCACTCGAACCAATCGCAGCACTAAGTTGCTACGCCAAGTAACCCATGACCTCAATTACTTTAAAAATGATTCAATGTACCCAAAAAAGACCTTAATAAATAAAAATAATCAAAAGAAGAAAATAAGAATAATGAAGTCACCTGTTTCGAAGAAGAACTAGAGTATCCATTTGTCCAGCTTCTGGTTTCGCCTTTGGACGAAGAACTAGAAGATTTTGAAGGTGCTTGAGGATTCTGGTTTCATGAAGAAGAAAGATGAAGTTGGTAGAGAAATGAGCAAAGCAAAGGGTGCAAGATATAGAAGAGAGAAATTGTAGGAAATGGGAAAATGAGTAGGATGTATACATATATATATATATAAATACGCGTGGCATTGATATGGAAAGCAGAAAGCTGTAGTCAATGGAAGGTCAATGAAAGCTTTGATTTATTTAATTTGTACGTTAGCGAGAAATTTCCATGAAATATGCAATGTTTTAAGGTTGATTTGGAAGCCCCAATTTTTGACTTTTCCTATTTGGAGACGTTAATTGGTGAAGACTTTCCGATTTGGGATCCATGGAATTGGCTTAAACTTCGCGTCCTACCCAATTATTTGAAGGAAACATAACCAATTATAGAAGATTAGGGTTTAGAGGTCAGGTCAGACTCAAAGACTTATTTTTCTACGTAGTTATTGCATGCGTGAAGAACTAGGGCTCCTCTGCCTATGGCTATTGGGGGGCCTATGTGTTTTGTTTTATTTTTGGACGCGTTAATTAAAGTCAATTACCTCCGCCTCCACTTCCACTATACAACAAAGTGCACCAATTAAAATGGAGAAATTCATGAGATGAGGAGTTGCAGAGAAGCTTCCTTCTTCTCCATTATTATAGATTTGGATTGGACCACAAAGGCTATAACCAATTCAACGTGTCTGCTACAACATATGCATGCATATATGGCTAATTTTTAGATACCTGTAATTGTATGCCACCTTCTCCACAGTTTCCATATACTTTTTCTTTGGTAGAAAGGAAGGGAGAGGTCGGCGAAGCCCAACAAGAAGAGAAACTTCAACTTTCCATTAACTTTTGAAATTGTGTGTGAAGCATTTAAACCTAATCACCAAATTAACTCCATTCATTATGGTTGTTGAATCTAGTTAAACCTAATTCTCTCTCTCTCTCTCTCTCTCACATAAATACAAAATCACAGAGTTTCTGGGCATTTTTATGGTTCATGCGGGTCAGCACTGGAAGACACTTTACAGAGAGATTCAACACTGGAAGACACTTCGGATGCACGCAGCAGAGACCACGACTTGACTGGACCAAGTTTCTTTGTAAATGGTGTAGTCCAAAATTTCGCCCATTGTTTGAACTATTTTTTTTTACTTTTAATTTTTATAGTTACTTACTTGTAAAGGTTATGACGTGGTTGAAACCTCCGGCACTTTGTAATTGTCATTTAGAGTAATGACCTGCCTCTCTCTCTCTCTCTCTCTCTCTCTCTCTAGCTACCAGAAAAGAAAGTCCAATTCAAACTTCATTTGCGGAGGTGGTATTTGATTCCCGTGAATAACTGGGATTCACAAGGTAGATTATTTGTTTGACCATAAACAGAAGCTAGATTTATGTTTGCTATATTCCTTCGTCGACAATTTTCCCCTTTCTGTTATTTTGATGTTCATCAGATCAGAGGAACCGCGGCCCAAAACCACTAGAAAAGGGCCTCAACGCTCAAACAGCAAGCCCCAGTGCTAAGGCCCAAACTTTCAAGGAATGCCTCCTCCACGTATATTATGGGGACAAAAAAAGGGTCCAAAACCAGCTAGTCATGCCCATACAGAAACGTGACGTTTTATTGCCTTGTGGAATTATTGATAAGCAAGGACTGGAGATTGAGAGACAATGGAGATAAGAGACACGTGCACACAACCCACTCATCAAGAACATCATCATATCACTACAAAACTCATGCCTGCCAGGTGGTTCATAATAGTTAAACCACTACTCGAGATTCTGTGTTGAAAACTCCCTTCCTCTCCCATACCAATTATATATATAAACCAACAAATTCAAAAATAAAAAAAATAAAAAATCTGGCCAAAACAACTTCTTAAATATTCTTATTATTGTAATTCGATGAATGTCTTATTATACAATAGAAAAAAAATAGAAAAAAGAGGAGTGAATAAGAAGAATGCTTGTTGGCCTTAAATATGAGAAGATACTACCAAGTGAGAATGTCAAAAGTCAAGAAGAAGTTGCCAAGGAAAATGATTTGGGATTGTCGACTATTGCACATTCGAAAGAGAATTTGCTGCTTATATGCTTCCCCTTTTTAAAAAAAATTAAAAATTAAAAATTTTAAGTGTGGGCTGGTTATAATTTCCAAACACCCCCTCCCCTTTTATTTTTAAGTTTGAGTGGGCCATAATACATGTGAGTTGTTTTTAAGTTTTAGTAGACATAAGTTCACATCATCAAATGGGCTGGGTAAGATTAGCTTTGATTACATATAGGTTTTTTTAGTGAAAAAATAGGATCGCCACTAAGTACCTCAACTCACACATAATGGCAAACTAACTTAACTAACAAAACCAGTTGACTCTTTTGCTTAAGTTAATCACCAATTGATTCCATACTTGTATTATCCTTTTGTGGGTATTTGTATGTGCTCTTGTTGCTGATGATTTTTGTGCTTAATTTATGAATACAATTATTTATTTTCTCTCAAAAGAATCACCGTCTATTCAATTAATTAAAAGATATTTATTCCAAAACCCGTTTTGCATGACATATTATACAAGAATTCATATAGAGCTTATTTGGAGAGAAAAATCCAAAACTAGCCACTTGTCTTCTAATTAGTTTTTATACAAGTGGCTAATTTTGGAATTTTTTTTCTCCAAATAGATTCTATAAAAGTTTTGTATATAGTGACATGCTAAAATTAGTTTATTAGTGAAATCCTCATTAATTAATTAATTAAACCTTTAGTTGTGGCATTTGAAACCAATTAAGGTAGCGCGACCTGTTTTTATTAAGGTGCTACGAATATCATGGGTCCCAAACCATTGGATTGAAAAACAAGCGATCGGACCAATCAACTTATATAATCCAATCCAAACTAAAATTTAGTAATGGACAAGCAGCTAGAGGAGAGATGAGACGAAAAGTGGCCCACTCTCCCAGTAGTCCAGAAATATTAAAAGTGCTTTTGTGGATGGAGATCACAGCTTCAAACGCACTTTCATGTATGATGTGCCCTCCTCCTCTTCAGAGACCCAATCCACACAAACACCGGTAAGGAGCAGTGAGATTGAGATGGAATATGGGCAGCGGGTCAAAGATTAATGACTTTGGATGGTTGTGCATTATAGTGGAGAGAAGTGGTGAGCTGACATTCATCTCTGGAAATTCTACCGTATGGGCTACCATCCTCCACGACTGCTGCGGAGGTCGGAAATTTCTATAATGAAGAGGTTATGTTGAGGGGTTCAGAAATCTAATTGTT